ACGACCTTGCTCTCGACGATAGGTGTGATCGACTCGGTTATTAGCCTAACTCTCTCACGATACTTGAGTTCACTCGGGTATTAGCCTCGCTACACTCTCGAAATAGATCAGGTCTTAGCCTCTCTAAATCGTTTAACTGGCTTGGGTCTTAGCCTCACCAATTCGGTTGCATGATCGAATTCTCACGAACCCTAACACACGGTTTGAACAAACGTTCCTTTTCTTTTCATCAATTATGGACCTCTTAAAACAATGAGGGATGATCCCTATTTATAGATCCTAACTATGACTAATTCTAATCTACCTAGGAAACATATTAAAGCAATAAAATATTAAATTCCTAAACATTCTAGATATTATTGTGCAAGAAGGAAACTAAATATCTAGAGTCCTAAATTGACTAGATCTTGATCTTGCTTGGCTTGCACTCCAAACAATTCCAACTCACACGCCCAATACTCAGCCACCTTCTATTTCGCGCACCGTCCTACCGCACGCACGCCGCCTCTCGTGCGCGCCGACCTCACGAGACCTAATCCTTGTCGCGCGCGCTTGCGCCCCACGCACGCCGCCCTTGCTACGCCTATTCCCGTGTGGATTGGGTCGCCCGCGTCTGCCCCGTACTCGCGCATCATTGCGCGCGCCCTGTCGCTGCCCATCTTCCCACATGCGTGTTGCCGCGCGCTCGCCACTCCTACCCCTACGCGGCCTCGGCTTCCGCCTACGTGACCTTCACCCGCGCGCCCAGCTCGCCCGTCGCTCGCACCCCGCGCGTACCCCCCATCGCCCGTGGCCTACTCGCCTACCGTGCACCCGCGTGCACCCAACGCTGACCGCGTACTGACCACCCGCTCTCGCGCATCACCACCCGATGCGCGCTTTTCGCCCGTGCGACCATCGATCACCCCCGGACACTCTTCAGCCTCAACGACCACTTCCGTATCAGCGCGCCCACCCTAGCATGGCCGTGCGTGCCACTGCCTGCCAGCGTGCTGCCAGTGCGCCCATGTGGGCGGGCTGCACCCGTTGGGCACCCAACTCGCGTGCCTTCCGTTCCTTCGAGCCACCTGATTCCTTAGCCATCCCCACAAGGTTCTAATCCTTTGATAACCATCCCAAAACCTTCGATAGCACTCCTTTCCGAGGCGTGGTCTTGTCCGCGTGCGTCTATGCCAATGCGCGTGTTCGCGCCCTTCCTTGCGGTCGTCCCACGTGCGCGCTGTCCACCCAACATCCACCCCTCGCGCACTGCTCGTCTCCTCCATAAAGTAAATGCCCGAGGCCCTAGCCTCCCAGCGTCGTGCGCGTTGCTCCCTCGCGCACGCCTTGCACCAGTCGACCGCGTCACCCGAGCCCGCTATCATACACTCGGCCCCAGTCCACTGTGCGTAGTCTTTCTTCCATTGCCTTAATGTTGCACGCCGATGGACTACCTTCTCGCGTGCCCTTGCGAACATCCATGCGCTCGACCCTTCTAGCCTTGATCTCTCGAACTTCTTGCTCGACCTCCTTATCGTTGTAGACCCTTGCATGCTTGACCTCCTATGCCATTGCGCACATCGGCACCCTCGTATACGGGCTCGTGCGCGTCTCCTCGGCCATGCAAGCCTTGTTTGTGCCCCTTGCTTGGCCTTGTCCATTAGCCTCGGCCCTCGTCCTTTCTCACCATCGAGGATCGGTACCCACTTCCGTATCACACGTCCAGCGCGCGCGCAGACAGCACACAGCGCGTGCCCAGCCAGCGGCCAACCACCTTCCGAGCCCCATTCCCTATGTTTTGGCTCATTTTTCTCCAAATCAAAGACCTTGTGAATATTTTCAGGTGAATTAAGGATTATTTAAGCCTAAGATTGCCTTAAAAATGTTTAAGGCAAGTTAATTAGCATTAGGCTTAAGTTGAGCATGTGTGCATGTGAATATTATATTCAATGTGTAAG